AATTCCACCGCTGCCCACATCCATCTTACTTCTGAGCTCCTAGCTGCCACGGTCCATCTGGCGGATTGCTAAATTGACCCTCTCACCACATGCAAAGTTTTGGAGCACCCCTCACTGCACACCTTTCAAGTCGTTTCCTACAACATTGCTACAAGCATCTTCTTGCCGTCCGCATTGCACCGCGTGCTGCGCGAACGATCCCCGCTTCACCGGTCCCGACGGAATTCTGAACAACACGGAGTGGGAGGAATTGTACCTGTACGAAGGCGGGCCTGTACACAACTTGAGCCCGGTTCTGCAATACTGACACCGTTGCTTCCTCGATGCCGGGCAACCTCTTCACGGCTTTCTCGATGGACCCCGCACACGCTGCGCACTCCATCCCTGTAACCTGTACACCCAATCAACACATACATATGAAATGACGACCCCGTGGAATCAATTGCCAAACCACACATGTCCCATTTGAACCAGCCCCACGCACGTTCTACCACTGGATCAGAAAGTCGAGCGGCGCCGCTAAACGTTGCTAGCACGATCCGCTTTCGGCCCCTGGGGTTCTCCTATGCAACAGACCTTTGAGGAATTCTGCTCCCATTCATCGCTCTCATGTTCAAGTGCTCATCACTGCTTTTCTCGCGAAATCCCCGACTTATTCCAGCGCCAAGCACTTTCACCACGACCGTTCCTACTGGAATTTAACAGGGACTCACAACAGAGATCTCCCCTCCTCCCAGGCCGGGCGATAACCTGCCCAGATATGGCGTAAACAAGAAGGCAAGAAAATCACTCCAAAACAACTCCACAACCACGCCACTCCGGCGTTTCAATGCCGCTGCTAAACCCGCACTTTGTGAGGGTTGCATTACAGACCTTCAAATTTGCTTTGCGAATCTCCGAGACGTCAACTTCGCCATGCAAGGGCGACAGCGGGTACCGCGGCATTGACGGATACCGAGTTGAAGACGACAAACTGCGCTCCAGCAAAACATCCTCCTTCTTCTTCTTTCTCCTCTCGCTCTCCGTCGCCGACCCCGTTCGAGGTGCAAGCACAACTTTCATCAGCGACTGCATCGCTCCACAACCACCTCAATCCAGCTCTCACGCTCTTCAACTCTCTTCTGCTCCCTCTCTCTCTCCCTCTTTTACGAGCCTCTCAAGAAATCCTCTACAACCTCTTCTACCTGCAATCACGACCGTCCCCGCTCCGAAGCTTACCGCAATTCTCACGCCTGCGCTCTCAATTCCCGCCCACGCTAATCCCAACGACACAAGGTCCTATTCAAACAAGCGGCTGATGCGACACCAGGTCCTCCCCACGTCACGTTCCCCGTCATGCAACTCAGACAGCAGCGCGAATAGGCGCAACACGAACCGTATCCAATTTCAATCCCTACGCTGACTCTACTCCACCACTCTCTCCCACCCCTCCTAATATACCTCACGAAATCGCTGCGCCGTCACCACGGAACGAATTCCTTGTGTCGCACTTTCATGGTGGATCCCAGGATCTCGAATAAGTTCTCGAGGTCTCGAGAGCTGCAGGACCCTTGCGTTGTTCATGAAGGTGGGCCCCACTGTCAATGCCGTGCTCGGCAGGCTTGTCTATTAACAGCTGTCCAATGAAACAAAGCGAACGATCCCCCAACACCCAAGCAAAATATACTCGACCAGAAGATTCATGCCCAGTTTCGACCCTAACCCACTCACGGCATCAGGGCATGTCCAGATAGACGTCGGAGGGGTCGGGACAGGAGGCCGCGAAAGCATCGCAGACGGCTCACGTTCACTGATGTCTCGCGGATGTCGCCATTCACGATTTCCAATGGTTCATGAACACACTCATCTACTGCAGTGCCGCATTGCGATGCCGTTGCGAACACAGTTGCGAACGCAGATGCGGAGCAACCCGATGACGAACACTTCTGTCCGGGTATCTGCGTCTTGCGGACGAATCCTGGTCGTTGTCAAGGAGTAGCTCCACCGCTTGGCCTTCAATCTCCTCAGCAGTGCTCAATTTCAGTGTTGCTGTCACACCGACATCTCTGTGTTGTATCCATTGAGCGCATGCACGCCGGCTGATGGTGATGGGGCTCCTTTGCTGTGCGTAAGGTAGACAACCCATTTCAGATAACTTAAGCATTTCAGCATATATGCAGTAGGTGCATAAATGGAAAAAAAAAAAACCAAAACAAAACAAAACAAAAAAAAAAAAAACGTGAAAGATCCGGCAAGCTCCTCCTCACTGGCGCTTGGATTACTGCGAGGATGTGTAATACCACATATCTGGCCTGCGAGCGATTGCGAGGTCCAATGCTCAATACCCTGGCACATTGTGTTAGGATTTGATAAATTTATATACAATAATTTAAGCAAGTAAGATATCAATTGAGGATAGGACTTTTTTAGGATTAGGGTTTTAGTTGAGCCTAGCAGTGGAGGTTGCACTAAAGTGAGTCATAGTGCCTATAGTACCATTTGTAGTGGGATTGTAATAGTGTGAGGAGACAACATGACGATAACCACGACCTATGCTGTGATACTAAAAAGCAAGTTGACACATGCATCCCTGTCTCTTACAACATTGAAGGTGTAGTACAAGAAGAATAGATCTAAGAAAGAATAATTGGAATTTGAATTGGTTGCTACTATTGCACAAATGGAGCGGCTCATAGATATCCATCCCATGCGAGCATCACCAACTAAGATCCTTTCTAAAAGATTTTTTTGTAGCAAAAAAGATTTCATACTAACAAAATGTGTTGTTTGGGTGATATTAAACGAGGCCAAAGTACCAAAAGAAATGGATTATTTTTAAAAGAAAGTCATAATAGCATATATTGTGGAAGACAATCAATTACCAAAAATCATATAAGACTATGTGACAAGTATCTCAAAAGAACTTGGAAAAGAATTGAATTTAAGTCGCAAATTAGATCATGGCTTCTTCTAGGTCATAGGAAAGGATGTGTCAAGGACATGAATCTCAAAGAAAGAAAACTCAATACACTCTTGTATCACTCAAAAAGATTAAAAAGTCACTCAAAGATAGTAATATATTGAACTAGAATGGCTATTGCTAAAGACAAGAATATTAAAAAGTCTTAAAACAAGACTAAGGACTATAAAAGCAATGACAACAATGAAGAAGGCTTTACTCTTGCTTCTATATTTACTATCTAACAAGGAGCTATATGACAATGTTCTATAGGATCTCCAATACGTGTTCATTTTATAAAGCATATGTTTTAATTTGCAAGACAAGTTTCTTATATATGCACCATATTGTTGCCATATTGTAATACAACTATATGGTAAAAATATAATCAAAAATAAAATTTTAATTAATATTTAATCATCTTAGTTCAATAGTAATTCAAGACATTTAAGCATGGCTTTTATAAAAATCTCTTAGTTTATTTTCTTATCTTAATAGCTAGTAGATTCAAGGTTGGTTAATAATTTTACCTTCTAAACTATTAAATTTCTTTTATTGGCTTAGAAAGGCCATAAATTGATAAAAAAAAAAATAGTATAAAAAAGATAAATAATTAATATAATTGATACTAGACTTAAGTTGAAGATAAGATCAAACTAAAAAATCCCTAGGATAGATTGGATTGATATCCGAGGATTAACCATTTGTGGAACATACTTGAAATCAAACCTCCAGTCACTAAAATGGCTGCCTAGAGCAAAATAGGGATTCATTTGAAGATCGGCAATTGGAGTTTGTAAGCTAGCTTCAAGCTTATTCCAAAGTTCTAAGTCTTGTTTTCTTAGGATTTGGAATGAATTTTTAATTGTTGTTCAAAATCAAGATTTGTATCAATAATTTGGAATTTATGCAATATAATCAGGGCTAGCACTCTTCACTACTTCATGCAATTGGTGTCACTGCTCAACATTGTCCAAAGAAGCGATGCAATTACAAAATGAGGAATACTACCATCAAAGAAAATAGTATGTCAAAAAATAAGTTTGTCTAGCTACAATAGGGACAGTGTAGCTAGAACCTTATACAATATCTAATGAAGGTCTTATTCTCTCCTCAGAACCTTCTCTTTATTTTACAATAAATGTTATTTTAGGACCTTAACATCACAAAGCATCTACCTTATTAGATTCAAGAGCCTCAGCTTGTTTCTTAGATGAAGAATTTGCTAAAAGATATAGCATATCTTTAATGAAGAAAACTAAACATATTCATATAGAAGTCATAGATGGTCGTCCATTGTCTTCAAAAAATTTTATTCATGAAACTCTTCCTATAGAAGCAATAATTAATAATTATAGTAGCTTTGTAATATTTAATATGATTAAATCTTCTTCTAATTGAATAATTTTAGATTTATCATTGCTAAAAAATATAATCCAAAAATAGATTGAATTTCTTGTAGTCTTGATTTATTTGAAAGTATAACTAAGAATATAATTGATCAAGTAGAAAGACATAAGTCTACTATAATTAAATCTATATTTGTAGGTGCAAAAGCTTTCTTGCATGTTAGAAAAAAAAGATTATCTTATGTCATTCATATTGTATCCATTTCAAATGGTAGAAAGTCTTCAAGCGGCATTCTAAGCCAATATTAAGATTTTCAAGATGTATTTGAGAAAAAGAATGCTGATATTCTACCAAAATATTATCCCTATCACTATTCAATTGACCTTTAAGAAGGAACTCAAGTGCCATTTGGACCAATTTATAATTTATCATAAAATAAATTGGCTAAATTCAAAAAGTATATTGAAGAAAATCTAGCCAAGAACTTTATATGCCATTCCAAATTTTTGACAAGAGTTCTAATTTTATTTGTAAAGAAAAAAGATGGATCATTGCAAATATGTATCGATTATCAAGGACTCAATAAAATCACCATCAAGAATAGATATCTACTACCTTTGATATCAAGACTTCTTGATTAATTATATCAATCTAAGATCTATACAAAAATAAATCTATAAGGGGCATACAATTTGGTATGCATCAAAAAAGGAGATGAATAGAAGACTACATTTTGAACAATGTATAAACATTTTGAATATAATGACATGCCTTTTGGACTTATAAATGCACCAATAGCTTTTGAATATCTAATGAATGATGTTTTTTGAGAGTTTTTAGATGACTTTGTTGTTTGTAACCTAGATGATGTCTCAATCTATTCTAATAATATATAAGAATATGAATTTTATGTTTGTTGTGTATTACAAAAACTAAGAAATACAGGACTTTATGCCAAGATAGAAAAGTGTATATTCTACACTACTCAAGTCGACTTCTTAGAATACATCATTTCAAATGATGGATCCTAAAAAATTTCAAACTATTATAGTTTGGAAGATTTCAAAAATGGTAAGAAATGTCCAATGTTTTGTGGAATTTGCCAACTACTACCAGATCTTCATCAAGAACTTCTCTCAAGTTGCAACTCCACTTATCCATTTGACTTATAAAAACAAACTTTAATGAAATCAAGAAGTAAAAGCAATATTTAAAGCTTTGAATAAAACCTCTATTTTTACACCAATCTTATATTACATTGACTCTTGTAAGATATTTTGTTTCAAAATAGATGCATCAAACTTTACTTTGGATGCCATATTATTATATATAGAAATAGATAATAAACTTCATCTAATAGCTTTTCATTCAAGAAAATTTCTAATAGCCAAGATCAGCTATAAGATTTGTGTCAAAGAACTTCTTGTAATTATAATTTTTTTTGAAGAATGATGCAATTATCTAAAAGGTGCTTCTAATCCAATATTTATTTATTCCAACCATAAGAATCTTAAATATTTTATATAAGAACCTGTTTTGAATCATGGCCAAGTCAATTGGAGTATGTCTTTATCAAGATTTGATTTTAAGATTACTTATCGACCCAAAAAATACTAAAGTTTGTCAGACGCCTTTTTTAGATATTTTTGTCTTGTATCATAAGAAGAAAATACATCTTTTCATCAACAAAGCATGATTCTCTTGATGTTGGAGCATTTTCATCTTCAAGCAATAAAATCAATATTGACTATTGATTCAACTCTTGTCAAGTAGTTTTGATCAAGTATATCCTCTGATCCTTTCATTTATGATACCAAGAATCTTTCTTCTAAGTCTTATGATGCTTCCAAGTTCAAGTTCAAAAAAAACCTACTCTATTTTAAAAGACACTTATACATTCTAGAAGGAAAAGCATGTTTATGTATTTTTTAAATATGTCATAACTTTCCAACGGCTTGACATTTTGGATACAACAAGACTTTAAAACTTATATCTAGAGATTTTTAGTAGTCACAAGTATGAAAGGGAGTGAAAGACTTTGTTTAGTTATGTAACATTTTTTCAAGGTCAAAAACTCTTTATTATTGAATTTATTGACTTTTCCAATTGTTACCTATTCAAGAACAACCATGGTCTTTTGTTTCTATGGATTTTATCAAGGATCTTTGAGTCTCAAATTCTTATGACTCTATATTTATGATAATAGATCATTTCACCAAGATGGCACATTTTGTACCATGTACAAAAGCTATTATATATAAAAAAGTAGTCAAGCTTTTTCTTGATAATATCTATCGATATTATGGATTACTTAAGTTAATTTAGTTTGTATCAAGATTTTAAAAAAATCTTTTCAAGATTCTAAAAGTAGACATAAAACTATATTTGGCTTTCTATTCTCAAATTAATGGACAAATAGAGTGTATAAATCAAGCTTTAGAATACTATTTAAGGTGCACCATCAATTACCAACAAGATGATTAGACAACTCTTTTGCTATTGACAAAGTTTGTTTATAATAACATAGTATATTTTTCTATATAATAAATATATATATATATATATATATAATTTTTTGCTAATTATGGTTATTATCCATAACTTAATGGTTTTAATTTTTGAAAAGTTGATAATCATGTGGTGGAAGATTTGGCAAAATATTTATTTGAATTACATACAATAATGAAGGGACGTCTAAAAGATGCTAAAAAATAATAAAAGAGCAATGTGGATGCTTATCATAAGGAACAACCTCATTTCTACATTGGTGATAAGGTATGGTTACTTTGTCATATTATTAAAATTATTTGTTC